GTTTAGAAATATTAGGGCTGAGGAGGGAGGGGAGGAGAAGGAATCTTTTAAAATCTGTTTAATTTTAAGAGCCTGTGGATATAAAACTGGCAGCTCACTCTGAATTAAAATGTCTTAGGCTTCTGTGTTTTTATCCTTATTTCACACACACATGCACACGCACGCACACACTCACACACACACCTTTTATTTTGTTCTGCCTTTGCCACTGTGTATAAAGCCCTATTGAGACATGTAGGCGTGATGTGTAAACCGGATTAGCAGTATGAAAGAAAGACATACAATGAGCCTGAATTGTTTTACTTCCTTTTCATTTCTCACGCCTATATCTCTAATAAATTTGTTGCTCCAGCAGTGGGTCAAAGAGATTGTGTCGTTCAGCTTTTTTTTCTTCAAGGCCCGATGGCAGAGTTCATGGAAGTGAATGCCCTGCTTTCTGGCACATGCAAAACTTGAGCTCTATCTTTACACAGACCCAGTGTTGTGCAGCCTGGCTAAAAAAGGTTCAGTGTAACTTTCCCCTCTCAATGCACATTAATGTCCTGCAAGTGGCGGGGCATTTTGCCAGGAAGAGAATCTGATTTGAAGACTACTTGGGTTTATAGAGGTAAAACCCCTCGTGGAATGTGACAAAGTATCCTAGGGCTGGGATGTCCTCGTGGTTTTGGACGGAGCGGGCTGTTCCTCCTTCCACTGTCTTCTGCAGCTCCCCGTGCGCTCCTGTCCTCTGGGAGTCCGCTGCTGTGCGGGAGGAGCTCGGAAGCTTCGGAGACTCCTCTGGAGGCACATTTCCCCGCAGCCCTCCGCAGAAGAAAATGCCAGCGCTCCTGGGTTGGTGCTGTAGATCCCTCATTTGCTCCTTTGTGGCGTGCAGAGCAGCTTTCCATTAAAGGAGATCAGGGGTAATTAGCCGCATTATTTTGACAAGTTGGCTCGAGCAGTTCCCTTTCTTCCAGGGCTGAGGAGGGGGAGAGGCCGCCCGCCTCCTTGCCCAGGCGCGGGCGCTGAGCGGCGGCGCTGCCCTGCGGAGCGGCTCCCGCTGCGCGCCGCCGCCCCCCGACGGCAGCCCCCGCCGGCCCGCTGGCCAGCACGGCTCTCCGAGGGCTGGAAAAGGAGAGGGAGGCTCAGGCCGCCGTGCAGACCCCAGCGACTGTGATATTATGTCATAGCCAGAATCAGGTGTGCGGGCGGAGCACAGGGCCGGGGCAGACCTGTGCATTTGTGCGATGCAAAGCTGCGTGAGAGACAGAAATTTGAGGGAATAGAAAAAATCTGATTATTTTCCCACCAGTCGGTCTTCTCCCAGGACCAGCACTCCTGTAAACTGTACAAAAGAAACCCAAAGTGGCTGTGCTTCATTTCTGTCTTTATTAGGGTAATCAGATGCTCCAGCAGTGCAAATGTTTTTGGTGGGTGTCTGCAGATGAAAAGCAACCTGGAAAAGATGTGTTAAAGTAACATCACTGTAAATATCTGTTACCGACTGTTAATCTCTATTGGATTGATCCCTTACCTGGCTGGAGAAGTGCTCTGCAGTATCAGGGGTTATGAACACAAAGTGAATGTAAGTAAGAGACAGAGCATTATAAATGAAGCCACTACGACTACAGTCAGTGCTGAAATTCTTGTACACCAGCCTCGGCTGTCTAGGCATTGAAAGCTACAGGTATGTATAGTTGTAGATTGCAGCCCCTGTATAAAACGAGACAATTTCCAAGGCCTTCACCACATAGGGTGTCCTAGATAAGAAATCTGGGAGATCCCTCCGACTTGCTGACGATGGAGGTAGCCCTTGGTGCGGAGGAGCAGTTGCACAGTCAGGGCATGCATATCACAGTCGGCAGTGCTTACAAATGTAAATAAGGACAGATTGATTAGGAACAACATTATTGCCAGGAATGTAGCAAGCAGGCATCAGCTATGAGGCAGACCGGGGGCAGCCATTGCTCTGACCACCCAAGTGGAGACTTTTACACTGACATTTCTTCCTTGAGGGAAAAAAACCCCCCAACATACATACACACACCCATCCCAGACCAATTAGATCTCTTCAGTAATTAATCTCTTGTGTATGCTTAAAAAAAAGTCCTTCCAGACCACAGGGAGAGAGGGGAGATTAAGACAATGGTTGTTAAATTTGAGTCTTCAGATAGAGTTTTGGAACCAGCAGTGAGAATGGGCTTTAGGCCACTGTGTGAAGACTAGCAGGCAGGAGGCCCTTAGGACAGTGCTGGGGCCTCCAGGTGCTTGAAAGGACACTCTTCCCTGGTTTTGGAGCCTACCAGGAGACTGAACCAAAATGCTTCTGCTTCTGAACCAATCCCTTCTTTCTCCATTCCCCTGCCCTGTTACCCAATCAGACACGGTGAGGGTGAGCACTTCCAGAAGCAGTGTCACATCACCTCCTAGCTAGATGGATGGTCACTTTCGCAAGTGGAAACTGGAATTTGAGGTGGCCGACTACACCCCAGGAATAGGTTTCAGCCTCAAACAGAAAACAGCCTCCATCTGCAACTGCTTCAGGTTTCCTTCTCCCATACGTATGCACCTATGTGCGCATGCATGACAGCTTGCTGCCCCTAGCAGCTTTCCTGGAGAGAGTCCTGTGCGGGGCACAGGGCAGGGCCTTCACGGAGACAAGTTTCCCAGGGTGGGAAAAAACGGAGTTGGGATGAAATCAAAGAAAAAAGGGATCCCCTAGCCGGCGGGTCTGGCCCTTGAAAGGTCCTGACAGTTGGTGCCTTTGGGCAGTCTCACGGAGAAATCGGTGCGGTGCGGTGCGCAGCTCGCTCCCGCCGGCGGCCCCGGCACCCGGGACGCTGCCAGCCCGCGTTGCCGGCGCCGAGACGGCCCCGCTAAGGCGGTCGTCAGCCCGCCGAGAGGAGGAGGACGCTTGCAGTGACCAGGGGCTCAGGGGTTTTGCTCAGGACCACTGCCCCAGGTACACGCACGGCGGGGCTGAAGGGAGAGGTGAACAGTGCTGGCGGGCTTGTCGAGTCGGGCACGGCACCGAGCTGCACGGGGTTCTCTTCTCACCTCGGCTCCCCACGCCCCTCTCCGCCGCATTTCTCCCACCCGCCCTGCCGCTCCCGAACAGTTTACAGCCGCGCTCCTCCGCGGGCGCGTAGCAGCCGTCCCGCAGGAAGGCAGCCCCCCAGGGCACCTCCCCGGCCGGGCCACGGACGGAGGGAAGGGCTGTCGGCTGCCCCCCGGCCCGGTACCCGTGGGTGTCCGCCACGGCCCGTAGCTGCCCCGCGGGGAGCCGCGCTGCGGGCCGGGGCCCGAGCTCGGGGCTGGGGGGGACGCGCGCAGCTCTAGAGGCAGCAATTAATGGCTGATGCTCAATGGAGAGAGACGCGGAGAAGCGGTGCCAAAAAAGTAAACAATCGCATGTAGTTCGAGAAATGTTTAGCGCGGCCAGGAAGGCTGCGTTTCATGGACTTTTACACTAAAAACATTAGAATTGGCTTTCCTCAGGTTTCAGTTAAAGAATGAGTCCTAAGTTGAAACAGCTAGCTACCGCGCGGCTTTAAATCCCTTAAGTGTTAAATTTTCATTGTGTTTTTCTAACTGGACGGAGTGGTTTTCTTGCAAGGAACTAAGTCTCCTCTTTAGTTAAAAAGAGAGGAGGAGAAAAATCTGGCACTTTCTACCGCAATATCCACCACCCTGTCATTATTCCTGCAAGCCTGGGAATTCAGCTCGGACCTCCCAGTATTTGTTGCAGCTCGAGGCCAAGGTGCCTCTAAAAGGATTTTCTTTTAAGGCCTTTAGAAATCGTTTAATGCTCCTTTTTTTCGTTTCCCTCTCTTTTTCTTAAAAGGGAAAAATGTATTTCTGTATGTCCCTGGCGAGAAAGTTCCGCGCGTGTATTTGCAAGCATCCCGGACGGGGGTCGGGGGAGGGGAGTAAGGGGAGGGGGGAGTAACGCTCTTGAAAAGAAAACGAAGAAGAAAGAGGGAGAAGGCATTCCTTAATGGAAGTATTGCATGCAAAGAAGACTGGATCTCTTTAAGGCTCCCCCTGAAGCTGGAGATGCACACACAAGGGTTGCCGGCCTGGGTGGTCTCTCTACTTTGGTGAGCTGTTGCTAAGCAGCTAATAATAGTCATGTTTGCTGAGTAATTTCTGCCCTCCCCGAGCCAATCACCTCGCAGAAACCCAAGCCATCTGACAGCCCCGGGGGCGGGCTCTCAGCCCCTTTTTTTTTCCCTCCCTCTCTCGCTCTCTCTCCACTCATACTCCCCCCACCTCCCCCCCCCCCCCCCCCCCCCCCCACCCCTCCTCCTCCTCTTTATCCAAATGGAGAGAGTCCTTTTTTTCTTCTCCATCTCATCTCTGGAGCCGAGGGGCTGCAGCTCGGTGCTGCCGCGCACACACCGGGGGAGAGCGCCAGGCAGCCGCCCGCCCGCCGCCGCGGCGGGGCCAACCGCGGAACCGCGCCGGCCCCGCGGCCCGCGGGAAGCACCCCGGCTCTGAAGCAGAATGGTGCAGCGCGGCGAGGCAGCCCAGCAGCAGCAGGAGCAGCCGCGGCCCGCCGCGCCGCCGCGCCGCCGTCGCCGCTGAGCGCCGCCGTGGACAGCGGCTTCCCCGAGGCAGCGGAGGCCGGCCGGAGTAGGCGATTTCAACGGGAGCGGAGGATAGCGCGGCGGCGGCCGGGGGATCCCGGGGGTCGCGCCCGCCCGTCCGCCCGCCCTCGCCGGGCGCGGGGAGCGGCCGCCTGCAGCTCGGGGTCCGCGCGCGATGTGGCAATGGGAGGCGCGGGGAGCGACTCGGCCGGAGCGGCCGCGGCGGCAGCCGCCGCCCCGCGCCCCGCGTGAGGCGGCCGCGCCGCAGCAGCCCCAGCAGCAGCCCCGGCGGCGGCCCCGGCGGCAGCCCCGGCGGCAGCAGCCCCCGCAGCAGCAGCAGCCCGCGGCCCGCAACGCCGCCAGCCCCCCGCGGCCCCGCCGCACCCCCGGGGCCCCGGGCCCCGCCGCGGCAGCGCCAGCGGCAGCTCTCCCGTCCCGCCGGCGGCGGCGGCAACATGGCCTCGGCCGGTAACGCGTCGGAGCCGGAGACCAGCAGCAGCGCGGGCGGCGGAGGCCACCCCGGCCGGGCGCCGAGAAACGGCGGCGGGAGGCGGCGAAGGACTGGAGGGAATCGGCGCGCCGCGGTGCCCGACCGGGAGTATCTGCAGCGACCAAGCTACTGCGATGCGGCTTTCGCCTTGGAGCAGATTTCAAAGGTGCATTCAATCTCTCACTCTTTTTTCCAGAGATACACGCTAGTGGTAGTGCTGCTTTTTCCGCGGGGGAGGAGGAGGGAGGTGGTGTGTTTTCTCGCGGGGGTGGAAGGAGGAGATGGAAACGAAACGGCCACCAATAAAATGCTGGGAAAAAGAGAGGGACGTCTGTGACTCTTCAGTGCGGGAGAGAGTGCCCTCCTTCCCTCCCTGCTCGCCTGTGCCTGCCCTGGTGCGTGCCTGTGCTGCGGAGCACTTCTCCTCCTAAACTTCCCGAAATAGCCTCTGCTCGGTCCCGGCCTCCCCATGGCTAACCCCAGGCCCGTTCTCCCGCTCCCCCCTCTCTCTCCGCTTCCTTTCTGCTTCTCCATCCCCTCGCAGCGCCCTGCGATCTCGGCAACACCCGCTCCCGGCCGGAACAGGGGAGAAACCGGCCGGCTTCTTGGCAGAAGTGGGGCTTTTATGAAGTTTTCCGCCGAGAGCCGAGACGGCGGGTGCCCTGGGAGAACGGGGTCCCCCAGCAAAGAAGGCAGCGGTTCTCTCCCTTGCCCAGCGGCCGGAGGGGGAGCGAGGGCCATAAACAAATTGCCACCTTAACCCTGCCGCGCCGGTCCCCGCGGAGGACTGGAGGTGCCGGGCGGGGCGGGGGGACAGCCCCGGCCGCCAATCTCCGCTGGCCAAAAAATGTTCAAAGTAAACAATCTCCAAAAGCTGCCTTGCTGCAGGGATGGTTTCACTTCAGGGAGCGGATTTCTAGGCTTTGTAAGAAGAGGGAAAGGAGGAGGAAAAAAAAATCCATGTGGCTGCCCTCTTCCGTTCACAAATATTGTCGTAACTTACAGATGGCTGCTCTACTTCCTAATTCAGATCACACAGCGTCTCCAAACTCTATGGAAATGAATTACTGCAGATGTTACAGCGCTGCTCACCACGTGGGTCTTGCCTCAGCACCAAGCCCCTGCTAGGAGCTGGGAATGGGGAAAACGGCCACTGCTGCCCACTGTCTGTCACACAATCCCCCCTGCCTCTCCTCCCAGCCATTCTGGGGTTCCAAGGAGAACAGGAAAAGGGACTTGTCTTTCTTGTGGCTGTTGAGGTTTGTCAGAAGTGGTTCCTTCTTCCCTGGAGCCACAGGTCTCGCCAGAGCGAATGCTTTGCAGCCTGAGCTGGTGGCGATGCCTCGGGCAAGAGATGAGTATGGTGGTGGCCGACACAGGCGAGGGCCCGGGGGCCGACGCAGTGTTGTTACCGCCAAACTCGCGCGTAGGCCTGGGGCAAGGGTGGCTGACAGCAGGTACATCTTGTCCCTGTGTGCGTGCTCGAGGGTGGCTGCTCGGCAAGGCCGCGGGGCAGGGGCCCTGCTGGAAGGATGCCTGTTTGAGCTGTTCGCGGTGCTCCGTCCTTCCTCCGGGGACTGCGCCCCGAGAGCCGCGAGCTGTCCAGCTCGGGGCAGGGCTGGGGGGCTCCCCCTACTTCTGCGGCTGCCGCAGCCCGCAACTACTGACCTCTTCTTGCTTTGCAGGGGAAGGCGACTGGACGGAAAGCGCCGCTGTGGCTGCGAGCAAAGTTTCAGAGACTGTTGTTTAAACTGGGCTGTTACATTCAGAAAAACTGCGGGAAGTTTTTGGTTGTCGGCCTCCTGATATTTGGGGCTTTCGCTGTAGGATTAAGGGCAGCTAATCTCGAGACCAACGTGGAGGAGCTGTGGGTGGAAGGTAAGTCCGGGGGGGTGCCCCTGTTTTCTGTCGGCGTCCCTGCCCGGCCGGGTAGAGCGGCCCGGGGCCGCTCTGCATACCCGTGAGGAGCGGCCGCCGACGGGGAGGGCGGGCGCCTCTCGGGGCGGGAGGCGGGCCCTGAGCTGGGGCGCGCAGCCCCGGGCGGCGCGTACCACTACTCCGCCCGCGGGGGGCAGCGGCGACCAGGCCGTGCACTCGACGGGGGGCCGCCGGGACAGCCCGTCTCCAGCGCCCAGCGCCCTCGCCTGTGCCCCGGCTCGCAGTGCGGGCGAGTTGCAGGCGGCAGGTTTTCGCCTCCCCGCCGGCGGCGGGAAGCGGCGGCGCTGCCGGGAGGCGCCCCCTCCGCCATTTTGGGAGTGCGCGCGGCCGCGGCGGGGGAGGGGCGGGCGGCGCGGCGGGGCGGGAGCCTGTGTGTGGTCCTGGCCTTGGACAGGTTTCAGCTGTGGGGAGCGCGGGGCGCAGCGCTGGAAAAAAAAAAACAAAAACAAAAAAAAACCAAAAAAAAAACAAAAAAAAAAAAAAAAGGAAAACAGGAGAGGGAGAGAACGAAAAAAAAAAAAACAAAAACAAAAAACCCCCAACAAAAACCACAACCACGAAAGAAAGGCAGAAAGGTAGCCGAGGCGAAGGGCAGCCCGGAGTGGGGCAGCCTGCCGGGCGGCGCGCCCCGCGCTGAGGGCCATGGCACCAGGCTGCCGCGAGTTTGGGGTTTAGATGTAGTCCTTAGAGGTGTTTTTTTTTTCTTAGCTTTTTTCTTCTTTCTCTTGTTTTCTTTACTGTTTTAGTGTTTTGTTTCCCCGCCGTCCCTTTCTCTTTTTTCTGTGGAAGAAAATACTGTTTATTAAGGATCACGTTCCCCCGTTAGCTGCTGGGTGGACGTGGAAACAGAGTTCCTTGTCTCTAGCAATTACTACTCTAGGTTTATGTCAATGTAGCTTGCAGCAGTATTTGGCTTATAAAAGTTAATATGAGAGGCTGCATAAATAATAATTTCTAAATAGCTCTCTGTATGTGCATGTGTGGAAAAGCTAGGGCTGAGTGCAAACAAAGTCGGTGCCTGTTCTGAAGGTGGTCTGTCCTGCCCGAGGTGAATTAGAGCGTATGGGGTCGGAGTCCACCCTTGCAGATGACAGCCGCATTGGGGTCAGGATTGGATTCGCCAGTCATTTAGTAGGTGTTGGTTTTTTCTGTTGTGGAAAGTAGTGATCTTGTTTTTGGTCCGTGTAGAGTAGTCCAGGAGCTCAAAGTATGAGGAGATCTGCTGCCAACAGTTCTGCCTGAGAAACAGAACAAGGCACTGCTGGGTCCCATCTGTAGGCAGAGACGTGCCGTCAGAGTTTGCACTGATCACTAACTACAGTACCTTAAATACTAATGGAAATGACTATGAGTCTTGTTTTCCTTCGCTGTTAATTTTTTCTTCCAAATACGCTGTGAGGTTGTTGTGGAGAGGTTTCTTTTGTCAATTTGTTTCTGCTTTTCTGTGTTAGATAGATTAATACGTGATTGCAGCTCCATCCCACATGCTCTGCTGACATTTATTATCTTGGTGTTACTGGTGTTCCCTTGCTTGGAATGGTGATCCTATTTAATTAGTGCCACCTGCTTTTTGTATTCTTATAATTCCAAGAAACTACTTGCCGATGATGCCTCAGTGATTGGCCTGTCAGTAAAAATACAATTCTCAACGGGAAAAAAATAGGATTTGCAAAATAGTTGCTACACTGGTTTCTTCTCATGTCATTATTGTTATGGGGAAGAAGTGAGGGGAAGTCCCTAGTATAGAATCTAGTGGAAATTGATCTCTGAGATTTTTATTGACAAGATGAATTCATAAAGCAGCTAGTTTGACAGTGTTGACCTATGTATTTTCATACCTATTTAGTTTAGATTTTTCATTGAAAAGAAATTAAAACTCTGCATTTAGAAACCCTTGCATTTCAAAACTAACCAGCAAAAGCTAGCAGATTAAGGTGAAATAAAACATGGATTAAATTTAATTTTGTTTCTAGTTTTCCCATTCTAGCACTACATGACGGTCCACAGAAAAGAGCTTGTTATAATGTGCTTTCTTGGTAGAAGCTCTGTAAGTGTTCTGCTCATGAATCAGGGTGTTGTACAATTAAACCTAACAGATAGCAGTTGCAATTTTTATTGCTAAGCTACAAACAGGAGTACAAGTTGAGAGTTTGAGACGGAACAGATAGCATGGAGAATGCCTTTTTCTTCCTAAGCAGAAGCGCAAAGCAGCACCAAACTACTTCTTCTGCTCTTACGTGGAGCTGGTCCTAACAGCTTTAAAGTACCTTTCATGGAGGTTGGTACAGTAAGGGACTCTTTAGGTCAAGGTTTCTTAGCGAAGAAGCAGTGGCTGAATTGTCCTGTTTATTAAAACAGCTGTTTCACTTTACCTTTCGTTTATTGAGCGTTTGGATGAACTAGGCAGTGCTGGCCGAATATGGAATCATAGAATTGTTTAAGTTGGAAAAGATTCGTAATATCATCAAATCCAACTGCTAAGCCATTACCATTATGTTCACCACTGAACCATGTCTTTAAATGTCACATCTAAACACCTTTTAAATACCTCTAGGGATGGTAGTTCAGAGGTGGCCTCTTCCAGTGCTTAACAGTCCTTTCTGTGAAGAAATTTTTTGCTATCCAATCTAAACCTTTCCTGGAGCAACTTGAGACCATTACCTCTCATCCTGTCACTTGTTGCCTACATCCTCCATTCAGGTAGCTGTAGAGAGGGATGAAGTCATCCCAAGGGTGCACTTCTCCCGGCTAAATTACCCCAGCTCCCTCAGCTGCTCCTCATAGGACTTGTGCTCCATTGCCCTTCTCTGGACTTGCTCCAGCCCCTCAATGTCTGTCTTGTAGTGAGGGGCCAAAACTGAACACAGAATTTGAAGTGTGGCCTCACCAGTGCTAGTACAGAGGGACAATCACTGCCCTGGTCCTGCTGGCCACGCTATTGCTGATCCAGGGCAGGATGCTATTGGCCTTCTTGGCCATCTGGGCACAGCTGGCTCATGTTCAGCCTCCCCTGGTCCATTTCCTGGGATAGCTTTCCAGCCACTCTTCCCCAAGCCTGTAGTCCTGCCTGGAGCTGTTGAGATTTAAGGACAGAACCTGACACTTCATGTTGTAGAATGTAGTATGAGCCTCATACCATTGGCCTTGACCCATCAATCCAGCCTGTCCAGGTCCCTCTGCAGAACTTTCCTGTCCTCCTGTAGATCAACACTCCCATCCAGCTTGGTGATATCTGGGAACTGACTGAGGGGGCATTTGAACTGCTCATCCAAATAATTGATAAGCATTTTAAACAGGACTTGTCCCGTTGCTGAGCCCTGGGGAGCCCCTCCAGTGTCTGGCCACCAGCTGGAAGTAACTCTCTCTGGGCCCTGCCTTCCAGCCAGTTTTTAACCCAGCAAACAGTATACCTGTCCAAATCATGAGCAGCCAGTATTACCAGAACAATGCCGTAGGAAACAGTGTTAAAGGCATTATTAAAGTTCAGGTAAACACTCTCCATAGCCTTTCCCTCATCCACTAAGTTGTAGAAGAAGATAAGATTGGTCAGGGAGCATCCTGCCTTTCCCAACCGCATTCCAGCTAGCCCCGTTCCCTGGACTGTCTTGAATGTGCTGTGTAGATTTATAGGTTACTTGAAATATACTTCAAGAAACAGTTTTGATTTGCTGCTGAAACTGTTTACAGTTATTATTGCTGAATAAATTGGCAGTATTTAAAAAGACAAATTTGATATGGTCTGTTTCTGAATACCATGGAATATAATACAGCACTGAAATTTGCTGGAAGTAAATGGTTGCTTTAAAACCATAACAGAATTAACTATCAAACAGTGAAGTGAACTTGGAATGTGGATGGTCTTAAAACTCATTCAAAGTTAAATGATTCGTAGTCTGAGCCTGCAGCAGCTATGGTTGAAATATTTACATGAGTTTAGAAACTCACCTTGTAGGTAAACTTTCCAAGAGAGAACTTCAAAACATCATTCTTTCAGATTTTTCTCTAGTAGTCTTCCTCCTTCAGAATTTATGCTAGCATTCTTGGCCTTCTCTGTGCCTCCTGATACCAAAGTGGCTTTCCTCTCAGCTTGTTTCTTGCCACTAAGTGTTGTAGAGTAGCTTTTTGTTTTTTGGGGTTTCTTTTTAAATATAGTACTCTTCTGGTTGCTGTTCAGAATACTTCAGTTATTACACTGTGTCCCACAGTGGCTCCATCTATGTTGCTGTCTTGTAGAGTTGCTCTCAGTCATATTTGCCTAGGATGTACACCTGTATCTTTTCAGCACATGAACAGATCTCTGTTCATGTGCATACCTTGCTGCTGGTGGTGGGGGGAAGGGGTTGTCTGCCAGGGCAGACTAATTCTGGACTGGCATTTTAATGGCAGTTCTGTTATTCAGCTTGAGTTGAACTGCTGTATGTGGGTGTCCATGCATTCTGGAGTTGTGGAGACTGTTTAGCATCTTTATACATTGTACACACAGAGAGGGAAAAAAGGGCTTTGCATTGATTTCCTCGGTGACTGAATTTTGTTGGACACAGATGCGCTTTTAGAATCCTCCATTCATAGCTAGCGAGTGCTCTGGATGGAAAAGAAATCATGCTCATAACTGGATATGTTTATGTGTGACCACTCTAAATAGGCAGTCTAAGATCCAGTGTGTCAGCAGCAGTCACACATGTAAATTCACAGCCTCTGCTGCTGAAAGAAGGTAGTTTTGTGGTTCCAGCGAAGGCTCTGTTAAATGAAGCTTGAAATTTGGCTACTGCAATGCCTTAAATGATGTTAATTGGAGCAGCTTATAATGGGGGAGATGATCTAGTCTTGTGCTTTGGTATTTCATTTCATGTCATCATTGTCTTGGGATTTTTTTCTCTTCACTTTTTTTCATTAGCTTTCTTCCTTAGGTGGCCAAAGATCATGCTGTTCTTCCCTTCCTT